CCCCCCCGCTGAGAATCTTCTCCTTCTTTGGTGTTATGTATACTAAATGTTAGGCGAACCAATACGTGCCAAAGCGAGAACAAGTGGCGGTTGGAAGCGGCCGTGTTCTTGACTAATGTGCGTACGTATTATAGGAGTATATGAAGCGAAACATACCCGTGCGCACACACAGTTTTTTTTGCTGCCTCTCTTTTCCTTGTACGCCAGCGTGGCATCGTATACCGGTACAAGGACGAGGCCAAGCGCCTGTTCGCCATCAGGTTCAACCCCCATCACAATCGCAGGATGTTTTTGGCGAGCGCGAAAGGACAGCTGGTTCATATCTGGAATCTAGAAGAGAAAGATGATGCTTCAGGTTCTACTAGGGGGGTGAGATCGTACAGCATGGGTTTTGAGAAACGCCGTGCCGTATCGCTTGGTGCAACGTCATCCCATGCACATGTTTTTTTTTTTTTTCTCCCATCATTGGACTCTGTCGTCTGCCGCTCAGGCCCCTATCCTCCACTTCTACTAGCTAGATGACCCAACCGGGGCCACATAGGAGGGGGGGGCTGGACCCCCCTCCTGCGGTTCCTGCCTGAGGTATTTTTATCGCCAGAAGGGTACAGCAATCCCTTCCCTCGCGACTTACGAAGTCGATATTGGTGTACTAACAACGAGTTTTGCAGCGCAACGCTTCCAACGGAGACCAGGATTTATTTAGTGAGAAAAAGACTCTCTCTGCCGGGACTCGAACCCATTACCTGGCCCTTACTAATAGCAGGCTGCGAGGTTACCCACTAGACCGCCAGGGCGATGTGGTAGGTTGATTTCTTCATACTATGTATATGGATGCAGCTATCCCTCGTATTTTCACATGTGCATAAGTACCCCGTGATAGCACGCAGATTCACTCCGACCACCGGCTGCGGTAAAGCAATGTTGAACTATGTACATGAAGTACACGTCCTCATAGTCTCGTAGTTGTGATGAGCGCGCTTTGCATCGGAGAGCTGCGGAATCATTAAGCTGTGGTCGTACGACGTTGAGCACACACCGGGTAAACACCTCGCGAGCGAGAGCTACGATGCGTTGTGGCAGAGCGAGCTGCTAGCCTCCGACCCTGCGCGCGAGGAAGTTTCCCAAAGAGCCCCATCATGTTGTCCGATATATGTCCGTGATAAGTATGCGTATCTGGCTCCGATTTGTGTTCAAACTCAGGCGAAGATCCGACGGGCTATATGACGGCAGGACCACGTGCAAGTGACGTCACGTGATGAACTTGTAATTTTTTTGTGTGTCTGGCACTCGCGGCTACCACAACAAATTTTGATCAGCACCTTCCTATTGCTTGACCAGGTCACAACCCTACGCCAGATGACGACCGCAAATGTTCTGGACATTTGCTGGTCGCGTTTCGACGAAAATTTGCTGGCAGCGGGCGACTGCTTGTGGGACACGAGGAAAGCAGTGAGTAACACGCTGTTGAGGCGCGTTTCCGCCATTAGGCGTCCTACAAGTTCTCCTGCGGCTCCTTGCTCATGAGCGGGTAGTTGTTTTGCCAGCCAAATACGCATTGGTAGGGCAGAAACCGTGCTTCTTCTTGTGGTCCGCAAAGTTCTGCTTGTCTCAACGCTATTGTACAAGTCATCCCGCAGTACAGCAGTGTTTGACCGTTTTGTTCTGGGCAACCTGTGCGAGCCCGCGCGCCTGTGCTCAATCCACTGTTTGTTACTGACGTCGTGGCTTCAGAACCTTGTCCAAGCATGGAAAGTACCGGGTGGTGACAGCCGGGTGTTGACAACCCAAGTCTCGTTCAATCGCAAGAATCCCTACCTTCTTGCCTCTTCGCAAGTGAACCAAGTATACATCTGGGACATGCGCAAGGTGGGTACTTTCATTGCGTCACTCACGTGCAGTGATGTCGGTGTCAGTATGTTGGTGTCTCCCTTCGCGTGGGATAGGACCGTATGGAGCAATTAGCGTGCATCACGTGTGCGTGTAGCCTTTTCTTCCTCAGATCTTCGGCAAGCCTGTGTCATATGTTGGCAGTTTTGATGTACATCTCCGTAACATTTTTCTCGTGGACGGTTCGCCGTGTGTGCCCATGCAGGGACAAAAACCGATCGATACGATCCCAGTATCCCTACCATCTGAACACGTAACTAGTCTGGACTGGAGTTCCGGAAGGTGAGAGCGCACCCGGGCAAATATGTGAGCAATGGCTAGGTTGCCGAGGTACACATCGTTCCGGGTTCCCCGTGCCTTTGGCCAAGGCAAGTCGATTTTGATCTTGCCCTACATCGTTCTTGGGCATAGCGTGAAGGATTGTTGTATACGGGTATGCACATGTGGTTCATTTTTTGTTTACATTGACGGTCTGTTTCGAGTTTGAACTCAATCAAGTGCCTAGTTTCTTGTTTGCAAGATGCCTCTTTCTCATCTTCCTTGAGACGGTGCACTCTTACCCTAGGTGCGTCGCTTCGTAGTGCACAGACGCTCGTTGTTCCTTTTCAAGTATTTTAGCTTGCCCTTGACGAAGGAAGTTAGTCATGGGGTCAGTCGGCACGGAAAACGGAAGCAGTCGGCAGACATGCACACGATAGTGGTTTGAGTATGACGCCACGTTTTCAACAACAGAACACCCCCGTGCTTGCCTGTCGCAGCGAGTATGATCTGCTCACCAGTGGCGGAGACAACTTTAGTTTGTGGAGGGTCGACTCGAACAAAGCGAAACAAATCGCCTCCGGAGGCAGCACTTCTTCAACAAGCCAGGGCACCTCCGTTCTTCTAAAAAAGCGGAAGTGGTCGCAGCCCGTGAAGAAAGTGCTCTTCGCACCCTTCGGCCAGGTATGGTTAGGTATGGAGCCCGCACGGTGTTTCTGCCTGTACTGCAGCAGCAGCACCAGCACCACTGCCAGCTGTAGTAGCGACGTATGCTTAGGTGGTCGTGAAGGCATTTCGTCGTCTCTGAACTGTTGAGGTATTCCGGCGAATTCTTTTTCTTAGGAGTTGTTGAAAATATTTGGTCGTCCCTGAACGCTTCAAGTATTTCGGCCGATTACTATCGCCGCGGGCTGCATAGAACCGACGGCGGAGCCGTAGACAGCGAGCTTTTACCTTCACCAAATGCCCGGCTGCTGCCCTTTCGACACCCAGGCGGCGATCACTGTGTCACGAGGGTTTTTCGAGGGAAAGCAAGAGCTGCAAACGATCAAGATGTGGTCGATCCCGAGCCAGGACTTGCGACTTGTTGCCACGTTCGAGGCAGGAGTATTCCCTATTGTGGGGGTATCGTGGAGGTCAACCGACGATGGGTACCAGGTGGCAAGGTACTGAGAAACGCTCGTCTCTTGGTGAATTCTTGCAATTGCACGGAGAACTCTGGACTACTGCTCTTCGTAGTCTTAGTCTTGACAGTTCGATTGCCCGACGGGGAAAAACCTGACGAAACGAAACCAATGTGAGACAGACCCACGCGGGTCCATCAAAGCGCAGCGATGTAGGATACACGGCGTGTACTTTCAGAACCTTTCGGTAGACAAATGCGCGGTTGGGTCGGCACGGCAGAACGTTGCTTTCGCCTGGAGCGGTCCGCGACCCTCGAGCCTCACCTCGCTTCGCCTCGCGTCTCTCGTCGTCTGCATAGCTTGGACGCCGCAGACCACTTGCGCTTGCACAACGTCGAAAAGCTAGACTTCGAAAGCCCCGGCAAGGATTTGCCAGCCGGCGATTCTTCGGGTGGGAGGGACTACGGATCAACATTAGGTGATGAGTTTTACTTGATGCGGATGTCATCTTAATTCTGTGGCGCGACCCATGTGCTTCTTGGGTTGAAATGAAGCGATGGAGGTATCGGCACTCGTTCGGAATCATCGTGCGAGTGCTGGGAAAGTCATGTAATGCAGAAGAGCGTGTGTGCAGATGGTAAATCCATTCATCGCGCACGCACGGAGCACTATCTCACCGCATCATGTCGGACGCCCTCTCTTTACTTCATGTAACGTTTTCAGGCTCGGAGTCACTGGAGACCTCTGCCACGTCGAAGGCTCCTGTTCTTCGAAAGGAAATTCTTCCGGTGGTTTGGAGTTTATCGGAGCCGCAGAATGCCGCGCCGTTCAAGATGGCGATTGAAACCACCTCAGATATCCCTGTCAGGGAGCTTGTCCAGGTATATACGTACACATGTTTGATTGTGTCGATCTCCTCCACGGGCATGGATGTGCCTGCCTTTGCGTTTGCCGTGGCACGAGCACGAAACATTCGCAGAGCTCGAGGACTGCTGTTCTTTTGCCGTTGTCCTGAGGCGCTCTTTGTACACACGAATGATACCGGTGGCCCCCACTTTTTCTTGTCTCCTCGATCGCTGCTGTCCCAGGTTGAGAACATCGCCCGTCGCGGTGGGTTCGGGTCTGTGCGAAGTGTGGACCTACAGGTAGCGCGAAAATGCATAAGCTTGGTCATGGCTGCAACAGCGGAAGCTACACAGCCACCGAGTGCTCACGAGGCGGAGCCGCTTGCAATACGCGACCATCGAAATCGTGATCCAGGAACGGAGGACGCGCCGCACACACCGGGGAGGACGTACCTAGTAAACTCTTGGCTTCGTGTGACAGCCAGGGTTCAACCAGGGTGAGCATCGCTAGGTTTTGGCATCAATAGACACGAAAGTCGAGCTGGAATTTGAAGGTGGACAGGTCCAACTGTTCGCATGTCACCGCTTATTCCCCCGCTTGTTCCTGCGTCAGGGTGCATTCTTTTTCGGCTCACGTTCACGTTTCTCCTTGGTCCTTCCTGTCTTGACAGACACTGGTCGAGAGAGGCGAACGCGATAGTCGACCTGGCGGCGGAACAAGGGCCTGTATTCTCCGCACCCTTCGACCTTGCCACAGTCGTGGTGAGTTTCTGTTTAGGTGAAATTATGCCTGCTTGGCACTGCTGCGAACTACATTCCAATCGTACTACTATAGGCGCAACTGTGGTTCGTCGGGAAGTGTTGGGCATCGAAGTCTCCATGAATCGATCGGTTGCCCAAGGGCGGGCTGATTTGATGCGGCAGGGAAAAACATATTTCATGGAGTGGTGGGATGTGGTGACTTGAAGGCTGCATGTTGTGCTGTCGTGAACTTCCGCAACCGGAGGGATTGCTAGCCCCAACGTGCGAGTTAAAACAAAAATCGAAGTCAGCGGGGGGAAGAGGCAGGGCTTGTGCTATTTGACGGCGCCCCTGCAGTATTCCCTGGAAGAACCCCGCGAAATCCTTGGCTCCCCGATCGATTTGTGCCCGCAGTGCGAAGACCCGCTCGATGAAGCGACCCTGAAGCGAATGCAAGCAGCCGCAGAGGAAGTCATGCACCGGCCGCTCAAGACGGGGAAGTCCCGGTTGGAGGCCTGCCTCGCTCGAGTGAGACGTGATCTTGACGCGTGTGTCAGGTGTGTTCGTGTTCGTGTTCGTGTTCGTCTGGCGTCGTGAAAGACCATATGTACACGTGTCGATGCTTTATGTACCACCTTGGTTGCGTAGCAGCAAGGAAAGAAAAGAGGTTCGTTGTTTTGCGCACGAAACTGCTGCGCCGGCAGTCTCCTAGCAGTCACCAAGCGGGAGGGAAGCACTAGTGTGTTAAATACAACACTCGAAACACTTGGTCTGTTCTTGCTTTTGACGAGGTCTTCTGGACACTGTCTCTTCGGCAATCTGTACAGCTTTGATTTGGTTGTCCTGACTTTCATCGGGGAACACTCGATGTCCGCAGGCCCTCTCAAAGTGTAAGATGTGCTGCTCCTACTGTGACCCGTGTCTGGTTGGAGATAACCGCCGTGTGTATCTGCTTTTCTCATCCTCTTTGATTCCCCGGATTCACCCAGGGATGCCGCCAACCAGGCAGCAGGAGTCGTCGAGGGAGACGAATCTCTTTCCCAGGTTGGGCTGCAGGCAAGTTTCACACCTTGGCACGGATTCACGGGGATGCTGGTGTGTGCGTGGGTCATGTTTGCTTTCACGACGTCATTGCTAACTCGCGTCAGGTATTGTAGCGTGATACGAAAGGAGATCCAAAAACCCTGCGCATGACAGTTTTTTTTGCCACACCCGGCCTTTCTACTCCTACAACGCAGAACGGCGTCGACGGTAGTGCCGAGGGGATGCTTGCGAAGCCTAGGTCGCGTGCGTCTCTGTCGGACGACGAGAACATTCCTTGCCCGCGGAGATTCGGAGCGATCTTTGCGGCCAATGGAACGCTCGTCGTGTTTTGTTCGTCGATGAAAGCTGTTCGGGCGGGACGCAAGCACGCGGAAGGCAACAGCCAGCAGGTGACCAAACTGGGTGATTTTCGGTTTGCTGTGCTGCTGTAGTAGGGTATGCCCCGAGCTTGCAAGGCGCCTCCGTCTCCATCTGTGTAGCTCGTGCTCGGGCCTATTCCAACCTCTGTTGTATGTGTTCGCCTCGTGGTCGTTCTTGTATAATTATGATTGTGCTGCGGCTTGTGCAACCTCACTCTGTTACGATGTATAGGTCTACACCTATCCGCGTACTTACGGTTGTTTCAAGAAGAGCCTGGACGAGGTCCTGGACAACGGTGGCCACGAGACCAGCCAAGGCGGCGAGAGTCAACAGCCTCACCGGTCTCTCGTTGCTGACAACGGCCACAGCTGGTTCAGGTAGTGCTTAGTCGGTACGAGAGTGGACGGTCTTGCAGAAAGAAGCGCCTGTCTTGCCGGTGGTTGTCATATCCAGTCCGTGCTTTGCTCGTGACATACTGGAGTAACCTCGGTAGAAATCTGCCACACGTACTCGATGTATTGCGTCATCCGGGAGACGACGGTGTCTTCGAAGTCGTTTGGTTAGGGTCGAGTTCCCGCGGGAAGCTCATCGGCAGCGGCATCCGTCCCAATCGTTTTGTTGCGACGAATCGAATCACCAGGCCGGCTTGGGGAGACGAGCTGGACGACGCTAGTGATTATCAAGACGACGGCACGTACGACTTGGACAGGAGTAGTACGGAAGAGGTCTTCGTCGAAGAGGACAGCGAGGTGTGAGCAAGAGGCCTGGTCGCTCGCTCTTGACCGTTTCTTTCCCTGCCTCACAGGGTCACGTTATGCAACGTGTCGAAATACACTGGTATTCGACTTCGACACCACCCCGCATGCAGCGTGCTCTCTCACACGCCCACAGCTGGCAGTAGCGCAGGCGCCAGGAAATGTGTTCTCGTTCGATCAGACGGGGCACCTTCCCTAATCAGATGAGATGAGCTCAAGGGATGACGTTTCTCCTTCTTAGTCGTGAGGTTGCTCACGCCTCATGTCTCATGCCCCATGCCTCATGTCTCATGCCTCATGCCTCATGCCTCATGTCTCATGTCTCATGCCTCATGTCTCATGTCTCCCCATCGAACTCCTTGGGAATTGTTTTTTTCGCAGGCCTCGAGGTCCGATGCTGCCATCACTTACACATCTCGCCTTCCCATCAGCCATCCCGACCATAGCCTAGGAGCGGGCCTAGGGCCACCGTCGGAACGCGACGGCAACGAAAGGCAGTCAGAAGACGATTCCGCTGGTGCCGCTGACATAGACGTCGAGGGAGAATTGCCGTGGACGCCTAAGTTTGACAAGGTACATTATAGAACAGACTTGAACACTATTAGTGGCGGTGTCAGGGAACGTCGATGAGTGATGAGTGTTTCATGACCACCGAAGCCTGCGGCGGAGAAGGGAAGGGAGTCAACCTAGTGTTGTCTAGCCAAATCTCGATTTTCCATGTATTTTCGAAAGTAAACTGAAGTTGTGCGTGCGTCCGCAGACCGTGTAAAGGTCACGAAGGTTGCCACCGCCTAGATGACAACGGCCCGAGGAGAAAGTCGCTTGTGCCAGAAAATCCCCGTCAGTGTTTTTGTTCGGAGGAAGCCGGGTGGTTTTGGAATGATTTCGTTAGCCACCGGGTGACCCTCTCCGCTACCGCATTCCCGCGACGGTGACTCAGTTACAACCGAAGTGATCCTTCTCGATGACTAACAGGGTGCAGCAGCGGAGAGACGAGCTGTTTCCCTACCTCCCTTCTGCCCTCTGTGGCCAGCGAGGTTTCTTCACTACCAGGGGGGGGGTGTACTCATAGTCGTGCATGCCGTAGTCATTAGACCATTGACCTCGCATCCCTACAAAGCCGGTACCAGGGCAAGAATAATTCAACCACACGTTGGCGAAGGGTGGATAGCTGGCCGTCGAGACCACCCCTGAATTATTATCTGGACAAGATGTAATCCTTTCTCCTGATTCGACGTCCGCTCTTCACCGTGCGTTATTTACCGGTCCAGGTGTTTCTGTTGGACTGTACCGGTTTTCTCCCCGGATCCCCTCTCTTGGCAGCATTCTACAAGCTAGGTCCGGTTCGACAGGCCTCAGCGCATGTTCAAAGTACCATCACCTCACCGTTCTCGAGCGGCGAGAGAGACCGGCGGCAAGAAAGAGGCGAACAGCCGTACTTTGTACATCATTCTGGGCCTGGATCTGATACGTCGGTGTCTTCGGGGTAAGTCATCTTGAGGCGGAATCACGATCCTCGTTTTGGGCGGTAGCAGCGCGGCCCTGTGATTGTGAGATGGGTTTCCCTCCGGTGTGGCGTGCTGAGGGCCTGTGCGGCGTGAGTTCTTGTGAACAGCGATCGTGTGTCTGTCTTTCGACCATACGTGATACGGTACCCCCCAAATCCAGCTTCATCCCCGCACCTTTGATTCTGAAGCTCGTGCAGTGGGCAAACCAAGACCAGGATTCGGGATATCTCTTCGCGGCTCATTCAGGATACACGATTGCTTGGCTTGTCACCGATAAATGTTGACATGTTGACGACGCTGGTACTTCCCCCATTCGCCGGGCCTCTGGCGTTTTTCAGAGGCCGCTCGCGTCGAAATTCACTCATGTCCGGCTTGGGTATTTCGAGCGGGATGCCTCCTCCAATCTCCGTGCCGCAGCGAGGGCGGTCCGCTACGCTGGAGAACACCGTGAGGAGCGGGGGGCCAGGGCGAAGGCCGAGCATGGACGGAGGGCAGGTACGGACGCGCCGGTCATTTCCTTTCAAGTTTTGTTTTAGGCGCAGTGTTTGTTTGCGTGTTCTTATTCTTGGCCTTTGTGTGTCCTAGTTGTATGCTTACCTACAGCAGTAGCCAGCATCTCTCGTCTTCTTGCCGGTAATCTGTCTCTGCCTCTCTCTGTCTTCTGCTTCTCTCTGTCTTCCCGTCTCTGTTTCTGAGTCTCCGGAGGTTGAAATACAGTCGATATTCCCAAAGCTCCGTGACAAGTCTAAAGACGGTATTGAGAGCGGGAAGCCTACGCCCTTGGCCGCGGGTCCCAGCAGATGCGGCAATCACCTCTCCCAGAGTGTGCACCTTCGCCGGCAATGCATCGAAAGCATCCAATCCTTTGCGTCCCCTCGCAGATCTTGCCTCCCGCTCTCATGAGAAAATGGGAGTCTACGCCCGATTTCAAAGCATTCCTCGGTAAGAATGGAGCTGCTAGTGCACGCACAGGTTGGGCAACTTCGTCGGGATCTGGAAGAGGCATGATGGCTGGACCACCGTCTCTAATCGGTAGTCCCGGCCGATCAGAGATTGCGAGGGGCGTCCGCTATAGCTCAAGAAGTGGTAGCGTCGACGACCTTAAAGTCAGCAGCCCGCAACTTCAACTTCAGGCGAGACGACGACGCAACGCATGGCAGGAAATGGCCGGCCGAGTTTTTGTATAGTCGCAACCCGAAGCAGAATCGAAACCCGAACGCACTGGAGTTTTATTTACACTCGCTGATTTTTGTGAGGGAGTCCCCCTTTTGGACGATTGTGAAGTGACGGGACGTTATTCCTCGTTCGGAAATCTCGCAGGTGTCCGAGCTTGAACATGTGGCTGAGCTACCCCTTGATGAGCCTAACGTGAACGTCACACCGCCAAGGGCCATCCCGGGGGCTGGCGGGGAGTCGGGGATCTTATCTCCTGGAGCGACGATGAAACCATCCTCCGCACATGGTCATAGGACGCGGCAACGACTTGGAAAAAGAAGGTAGGGTTATGTTGTCAATCGGCACCCGTCCACATATTCACAGAGCCGTATTTTTTAGCAGGGTTTATTTCAGGGATGTCGGTACCCCGTAGGTAAGAGTAGTAGTTTCCTACCGGTTATGACCCCAACTCAGATATTCCGGTTGCCTTGTGTGTAGCGGTGACTTCTTGTGGGTGTCTGAGATTGTCTATGCTCCGACAAGGTGAGTTGATCGCTAGTGTTAGCTTCGTAATCGAAGGCGGTCGAACCGTGTTTTTTCGGCAAGCGCTTTCAATGATGAAATGTATGGTTGTCGTCACTGCTCATGTGGTCGACCCGCTTTCCTCCTTCTTCCGCCCCTCCGACGACTCTCACGGCGACATGACACCCACACTCACAGACAACACCAACAGTTTGCCAGAAGCCCGGCCTCGAGCGTTGATTTCGACGCACTCTATCTCCGGCTGGGAACGTTGGCTCCGACGAGTCCAGTAGACACGGCAGGTCCTGCGTCGACGTCCCCGCCCATGAGTGACTACGGCATGGACCTTGGCCAGTCCTCCGCTTCTCATGGCCAGTCTACCGTGAACCGAAGCAGGAGCTTCAGCGGGGGTACGTCTCTCCTGTTTGGAGAGCGTGTCGGAGACGGTCAACTGGCCGCACAACTCGGGCTAAGCGGGAGGGGGCGCCATTCTTCTACGGACAGGTGTTCGATTCTCAACCACGCTACAAGTGTCATGTTGTGAACCCCGCCCCAAAAAGTCGTTGCTCGTTTCAGCTCCGACTGCTCTTTACGTGCTTGAGAAAAAACGCCGGGTTGTGGACACCTACCTATTATAGATTCGAATTTGATTGCAGTAACGCCGTTGCTCTCTCTTCTCAGTACCGTCTAACGTCCAAACTGGTCTAACTGACACAGACGCCTTTGTCGTTCAGGCTACCTATACCCCAAGAGCGCACCTTGTGTGTGAAAAAATTCACAACGTAACAGGAGCAGGAAAAGTCAGCACAAACGCGATAGAATAATACCCGTGCGTCAGACAGTCAGACGTGGCAGGCAACATGTCGGGCAAATGAGAGAGCCCATCGCTGCCACTCGACACGCGAGTGCAAGCGAAATTGAACAGCAAGAAAAGTCTAATCAAGGATCACCAATCAATCTAGCGGAGCTGCTGGGTTGCTGCGAGCCTTTATCAGGTAGCGGTGACGCATTTCTGTGTTAGCGGTGACGCAGAACTCTCCCTCCATCACGTGCTTACGGCGTGTTACGTCACATGGCAGCCCGACTGCCTTTC